ACCGTCGGCTGCAGCATCAGGCCAGAAAGTTGACCGTCCCAAACAGTGCATGAACCGCACTGGTGAGGGCAGAAGTCGTATAATCGTCAATGGCAACAAGTGCGGGAAAATCCAGCATCGCATTCGCATACGCCTGATTCGTAGGCCCATCATCCGCCAACAACAACACCACAGGGACTTCGGCCAGACAGTCGCCGCAGCTGATCTGCTTTGCCACATCTCTTGCAAATCGGACCTGCAGTTCGAAGGCCTGGGCGCTGTATCGCAGCACGTTGGAGGTGACGCAGATGACGATCATGACGGCGCCTGTGCTGGGTAAGAAGTCTCTGTGCATCTCTGTCATGCCATTTTCCAGACGATAGGGGACGTGGCGGACTCTTCGGGGTAGGGCTCGTCCAAGAGGCTCGAATGGGTCCATATCTTTGGCTAGAGTGGTGGAGGTGGGGTGGGGCACAAAGGGAGTAAAAAGTGTGATGATCTCGGCTTCGTTCAATCGCCGTAGACGTCTGAGCATCTCTGGCGGACAACGCAGGACCTTTGCGCCGTTGGTGCTGCCACATGGTCGTCCCATCATCGTTGATTGTGGGTACCGAGGGCGAAACCAGTATCGGAGATTGTGTTCTGAGTGCCAACGCCGCGACAGTTCCGGTGGATGATCCGTGTCCGATGCTTGAATCGGGGTGTGGTCCCTGACTGATTGGAATGTGGTTTGTACGAAAGGAAAGAGTTTTGTTTCGCGAATTTTGCTCTTCTGGAGCTGATTCAGGCCACTATGTGCTCAGTAGTAATCACCACTGATGTGTCCGACGATAGCGCCAAGTAGAAAAACGTGTGATGGAAGCGGGCGAGCTCAGATTGTTCAGGAAAGGGGCAAAACCAGTCGAGATAATGAAGGAGAAGTGAGAATAGCAATTGATACTTTGGTCTTGACCATAAACACGCCCGTAGTTACGAAGATGAATCAACGGCAAATCTGGTGTCTCTGAGAACGAGGTTGATATAGGGGCTTGACAAGGCGCGGCGTGGACCGTGACCTGCTGATGGTGCCTGAATCTCCTAAATCCTGTCAGCCAACGTTTCCAGAAGTTCATGCTCGCATTATCATCCTCGATGCTAGAGTTGTGCAACATTGAAGACGGAAATACTCATACAAGATCTGGTATATAATATAACGCACGCAGGTGGTTCCCAAGGCTCGACTCCACAGGAGATGGCTTGATTGAGAAGAGGCCCGTTATGCAGGCCAGGCAATGTCAGACTCTGGTAAGGCGGGTGTTGCAGTTGCTATTTGAGGTGACGACATCAGCTTTGCATGTCACAGGGACATACGGGGCTCGGGTAGGAGCAGGCAGCGTCAGCCATGGCCATTTGAAGGGAAGTTGCTACTAGGGGCGATACCCGTAGTACTCCGATTGCTCGATATAGTTTCGAGGTGAGCGAATAAACGGTCAGCAGGAGTAGGATGGGTACTGGGAAGACTCGTCTACTGATATCTTTCAGGACTAGGTAGTCGCCTCAGATGAAGGGCTCTCTGGACCGGGCCGAATGGGGCCATGGAGCGCATAGATCTGAACCACTCAAACCTCGACGGCCTGTCAGTAGCCGCAGCAATATCACAAACGACTGCCCGCCGTATGTACCCCATCGTTCGTGAGGTGCATGGAGCGCGGCGCACAAAACGTTTCGAGATAGCGCTGCAGACCGTGCTGCGGAGCTGTCGCTTGCTTTCCGGTCTCTGGCCAGTCAGAAAATCAAGTAGACTATCAATCGATGCTTCTGTGTAACACAAATTGTCGAATTCTCTGTGGCAAAAGTGGATAGCTGCAATGCATGTTCCAGTGACCGAGGCGATCTGCGGGTGACTTCTGCCCGATGGATTGCATGACTAGCATGAAGGAGCCGCGGGAGGCCAGGCCAGGCAGCGTGCTTGGGAGCATGAAGAGGTGAGCCGTGTAGACAGCATGGCTCCTCTGTGACAGTTGCGGAAGCTAGGATGGCAAGATTCCACGGCAGCACAGCAGGTGGAACAAGATGTGGAGGGGGGGGGGGGGAAGGGTGTGAAGTGCGGCGGAGGGGAAAGGGGACAATGACTCGCTTAGCCTTCTAGTCTGAGGCAGGGGTGGAGACGCGGGACGCGTTCAGGACATCAAACGTACACACGAGCAACGCGCGCCATCCGGGCGCATTGAGTGTCCTGTCACGGCTGACCACCCATCTCGTTTCGCGCATAATTCTTTTGCCAACGTGATGCCTTCTGTTGCTGGTATACCTGCACTGTGTCTTACTCTGCCTGCCATGACTGATGAAGACGACAGAAGAGCCACTCGCACTGGATAGCGCGCTAGATTTGCTGCACGAAGGTATGGTATGCATGCGGCTATACTACCGAGGCCGACACTTACAATGTACTGCAGCATCCCGATTGCCAGCTAAATCGAGGTCTGTCAAAGTCTCTGGTCTGGTTGATGTAGTTTGCCGGCACGCATTGGACCATGGCCTGGACCAAGATGCCCTTCGGGATGTCGTACAGCTCGTATCGGTCAAGACCACTTTAGATCAGTCCAGTGTGACAACACTGATCAAGAACCTTTACCCTGCTCAGCGTATACCCAAAGATGTTGTCATTGCTGTGGTGGGCGCGCTTGGCCAGGGCAAAGGCAAACCGTCATTAGGTACTCAGGATAGCCTTGTCAAATGGCTGACCATTGTCCATGAGATAATCGAAGACCCCGGGGTCCTGTCGAGGCTGTACAGCGTCCTTTTTGGAATGCTAGATATGATTAGCATCAGGTAAATGGCGACGAGATCTGACCTATTCATAGCTAGCTAACCTGACCAGGACTTCTCTATGCTATCTCTTGTCCCTGCTAACCCGCCGAAAGCATGTCAAGCCGTTCAGGATACAACAACTGTAGGTCCAAATCGGGTGACTTCCGTCTCCCAGAGTAGGACGAACGGCTGACCTGCATGCAGACTCGAAATCTCTCGTGGAATTGGTAATGAACCTGCCTTGCAAGGTCTACTCCGCGTATACAAGGACTACTACCCCGATATAATCCTTGGAAGCACATCCACGAGCCGAAAGTCCTTTGCTCCGGTGAGTTTCCGTCTGCTCGTGCAACTGCACATGCAAATCCAATACCTTCCCGCGCCATCCCTGCCCCATATCTGTTGCACTACTCCGAACCCCGCTGACCGTGTAGCAACCGGATGAAGAGTGGCGTACTCGAATTGCGGCAGTCCAAGAGGCGAGCGTTGCAGCGGATGACAATGTCGCCGATCGATATAACGGTTTTAAGGTGTTACGAAAGGGCCCCAGACGGGGCAAATCGTCGGCTATCCCCGAAGTGCACACCTATCAAACCACCGAGGTCTGTGCATCCTGTCATCCTGAAGCCGACCCATCTGACCAGCGTTGACAGACGTCCGTGACGCTTGAAGGTATCGATAATGTTGAGGATTTTGTAGAACGGCTTGACACCATTGAACCACCCGGTCAATTAATCTCTCTCCTCACCGACCCACTTCTGCAAAAGTACGTTGACCTCAAGCCGACTCCAATAACGACAGCGCGCATCAGTCTTTGGCTTGCGACTTGTCTAGAAGACCAGTACTTGGGGGCACGACTAGGAAATGGAGAGTCACAATATCTTTCTGAACTGCTCCAAGGGCTCCTCAGACATACCCAATATTCAAAGGTTGGTGTCACATTCGCCCGTTGGAAACCCCACGTGCTAAGTTTCGCAGACTTTACATCCCACGGTCCTCGCATTCCTGGAAAGATACATATCTATATGGGACGGCATGGACAATGTTGATGCAGTCCTTGGACTACTGTCCTATATGCCCATTATCTCATTCAAGGACGCCTATCAAAGTTATATCGCGCCCATTGAACAGGCGCTATCCCACCATGACATCGCAACATATACCAAGGTGATCGAATTCTACACCAAATTACTACAGCATCAAGTCTGCCTAGTATCAAGCCAACGAGAAAGGAGCAAATATGCAACTAAACACGTCATCAGTGATCTTACATCACATGTACCCATCCTATCCACCTCACTACGACTCTCAACACCGCCGGCTTTTCTCAACACCCTTACATCCTCAGTACTCTCCTTCTACGAGCTTCTATCCTCATCCTCGCGAACAAAGACAAACGCTCCACCACCTGTTCCCATAACCCTTCCTCCACCCCATCTCATCTACCTCCTCGCCCAAGATGAATCACTGACAACAATCTCACGCATCTGTGGTATCCTTGGCGCGTACAAGAACGCGTTCGATAGCCATCCGAAGCCCGTGAGCCGGTACTATGCAGAAAGCGTGACAAACACTTTCAACACGTGTTTGCGGGACATTTACAACACGCTTTGGGTGTCCAAAGCTCTCGTCGCTGCAGAAGGCAAGTCTGTAGGCCTGTATTGCATGCCGGAGCTGCGCTTGCAACTCCACGAGTACCTGAGTACCATTGACCGCTCGTATACGATCGAGACGGCGTTTGGGCTGTCGAATAACGCATGTCTATCCTCTCTGTCTGCAGCTGCGTGGCATGAGCTGGAGAAGCGCGAGATGGAGCGAAGGGGCGGGGATGTGAATAGTGTGGTGCATAACATCGGACCTATTCACAAGGCCACTTTAGATCGACTCAAGAGGGAAGGGGTCATGAGCGTGGAATGGGACGGGCCGGATGGGTACAAAGTTCATGTATTGAGGTGGTTGGAGGAAAGAGGGCTGGGAGGCATAAAGGGCTTGATGTTCGCCATTGCCACAAATCTGAGGGGAAAGGTGTAGTCTGTAAGGGACAACAAGCCGGTCGAGTGTGCATGCATGGATGTAATGATTCATGACTGGAGAAAGATGTGGGGTTTCAGTCCACGGCTGGGCCAGACATTGATGACTGGTAGTCCAGACTCATGAGGATCAATCCACAGCAGTCGAGCAGTACTGGTGCCTGTAATGGACTGAAGTGTTGCAGGATGGAACCATCTCTATCTGAACACCGGGGTGCATTGTTGAGTCAACCATAGAAGTGGTGAATGTTGGCGCAAGATGCACTTGAGGGAAATGCTGTGAAACACATGAGCACTTCCTCTTTTCAGAGAGCAGAGCCCACCCTTCGTGCTACATGCACTGTACAGTCACGTGCGCATCCTACACACACTGCACAGTCACGTGCGCATCAAAGAGACTCGAGACCTGTCAACGCGAGACGGGGCAGGCATGATGCTGGTCGATGCCATGGCTCCGCTTGTCGAGGGAACCTAAACTAGAAACAGATTAGCGCACTGCTATGACGCTCAACGGGTATGCACGACACGTGCTTGTTCATTGGCTGGGCATTGGCCGAGAGAGAGTGAACCTACATCCCCACTAGCTATTGCAAGCTTCGCGACAACCGGTGATAGTCGTACCAAGTAGAGCTTTTTCGGTCGATTACTGTCGCTTTCTTATATTGGGCGGCTTGCCTTGCTTCCAGGGAGCAATTCATGGTAGGTAGTACAGCTCCGTGCATCCTGCAAGTACCGTAATTCCCCTCGCCAAGGTACGAATCACGCGGCCATGAAGTTTGGTACGACGCTGCGCAAGAGCGTGTATGAGCCCTGGAAGGACAAGTACATCGACTACGACAAGCTCAAGAAGCTGCTCAAGGACAATGAGGACGACGATAGCTGGACCGCCGACGACGAGAGCGCCTTCGTAGACGAGCTGGCCAATGTGCAGCTGGAGAAGGTGCACAACTTCATCAAGGACATTTCGCAGAAGCTGCGCGACCGCACCTCGGCCTGCGAGAAGAAGCTGGAGCCGCTGGCGATTGGCATAAAGGGGCCCGGTGACGATGAGGCCAAGGGCAGCGACAACAAGGGCGAAGGCGAGGGCGAGACCAAGTCTGCGCAGACGGGCGACGCGCCCAAGAAGCCCCAGCCCAGCCAGGCAGAGCAGCAGCGCATCCTCAAAGAAGTCCTAGCCGAGCTTGACACCATCACCAAGGAGACCAAGGAGCTCGAAGGCTTTAGTAGGCTCAACTTCACCGCCGTCATCAAGGCCACCAAGAAGCACGACAAGCTGCGCGGCGCCTCGTACCGCCTGCGGCCCTTCATCGACGCCCGCATTGCCCGCCACCCACTACACACTGAAGACGCCTCGCCGCTGCTGTACCGTCTGTCGGCACTTTACTCGTTTGTGCGCCAGAGCCTCGAGGGCAAGTCCAAGGATGCCTTGTCCTTTGGCGAAGGCACCACCGATGGCGAGGGCTACCGGTCTCACAAGTGTACGTATTGACATCCTTCCTTGAGCCAATGGCACATGCTGATAGATGACAGTCTGGGTCCACATGGACAATCTCTTCGAAGTCAAGACCGTCATCCTCCGTCGTCTTCCCGTGCTCGTCTACAACCCCCAGACCTCCAAGATTGCCGAGGGCTCCCAGCGCGATCCCACCATCACCTCGATATACTTTGACAATCCCAACTTCTCCCTGTACACGGACAAGGTCAATGGCAAGCCCAATGCCTCGTCCCTCCGTCTACGGTGGTATGGCCAATTGAACGAGAAGCCCGAGATTCTCTTTGAAAAGAAGGTCATCAAAGAGGGCGACGTTTCTGAAGAGATTAGGTTTCCTATCAAAGCGAAATATGTGCAGGCATTCCTCGAGGACAAGTACCATATGGAGAAGAGCATCGAGAAGATGGAATACAGGCCGAACAAGGACCAGAAGCAGCTTGACAGCTTCAAACAAGCTGTCCAGGACATTCAGGGCTTCGTCAAGACGCAGAAGCTCCAGCCCGTCTTGCGCGCCAATTACACTCGTACAGCCTTCCAGATTCCTGGTGATAACCGCATCCGCATCTCACTAGACACCAATCTGGCTCTGATCCGCGAAGATGCCCTGGACCTCGACCGGCCATGCCGTGAGCCTGATGACTGGCACAGGCGCGACATTGACAATGCAAACATGGAGTACCCATTCAAGGCTATCAAGAAGGGCGAGCTGCACAAGTTTCCCTACGCGCTGCTCGAGATCAAAGTCAAGGGCCTCAAGAAGTACGAATGGATCGAAGACCTCATGAACTCTCACCTCGTCAAAGAGTCACCACGCTTCTCCAAGTTTGTGCACGGGGTCGCCAAGCTCTTTGAAGACAATGTAAATACGTTCCCCTTCTGGCTCAGTGAAGTCGACAACGACATCCGCAAAGCGCCCGAGGAAGCCTTTGACAACGAGCAAGAAAGGAAGCGCAAGGCCGCCGAAGACGACTTTGCTGTAGGCTCCCTCTTTGGCGCGCGTGCCAGCCCCAGCTACCGTGCCTCTATCGTCTCGCCCGTCGGCTCCCCCGCTGGTGCTCGCTCAGGCCCAAAATCCGCAAGCGCAGCGGCCCACTCGATGCCTGTTGTCAAGCCTCCGCTACCAACCATCGGCTCGCATCTATCCGGCCAATTCCAGCAAGAAAACAACACGGGTCGTGTCAACGAGGAAGTGGACTCTGACGAAGACGACACCCAGCCCTTGACCAAGAGTATCAGGAGCAGCGGCTTCGCCTCCCTCTTCCCCGGCTTCTCCACCTCCAAATATGCCCGCAAACAGGCCCGCAATGGCCTCACGCCAAACCGCACCAACTTACCCCCGGGCATCCGCGACCCCGGCGTCTGGATTAAGGACCAAGGCGCCGTCCGCGTCGAACCCAAGGTCTGGCTCGCGAACCAGCGTACCTTTATCAAATGGCAGCATGTCTCCGTGCTCCTGGCCTCGCTTTCCCTTGGCCTGTACAATGCGGCCGGGGAGGGCAACGACATCGCCAGAGCGCTGGCCGTGGTGTACACGTGCGTTGCAGCGTTTACCCTCGCCTGGGGCTACGGCATCTACATGTACCGCGAACGCTTGATCCGCGAGAGAAGCGGGAGGGACTTTGATGCCATTACTGGACCGCTGGTGGTTTGTGTGGGCTTGGGTGTGGCCCTTGTGCTGAATTTTGGGTTTAAGGTATGTCTTTTTGTGGAGTTTTTTTTGAAAATCCAACTCCTCTCCCCTCTCCCCCTTCTCAAAATATTTTGAAACTTTCCTGTGCAATCGTGTGGTTTTGAATTTGCTGGCTAACTTTTTGTTTGTCTGTGTGTTTTGTAGTACAAAGCCCTGCTCGAGGAGAAGCGAAATCACGGCGCGCTGAATACGACGTTTGGGGCCGAGCAGATGGAATTGAGAATTTAATAGTGTGCATGCATATGAGTTGTGGTATCCCGGGGGGCGGAGAGGGGAGGAAGGGAAGGTGGAGAAGAGGCCTCGGGTAAGGGTGTTGTACATTTGTAGTCTTTCCCACTTTTGCCTGTTTCTTTGTGTCTGTGTCTGTAGAATCGCCCCGATTATCCTTTGACCTTGTTGTTGTTCTTTCTTGTTCTTTCTCAAGCAAGGAAAAAGTGCGAAATTGATATGTGAGCGGGTTTTTTTGTAAATGCAGATAGTGCGGTGTTTTGGAGGAGATGTGTGAGAGGGAGATGGATGTAGGGTTGTACTCCATGCGTTGGGGGTATTTCAAGGGTGGGGGGGAAGGGCCTAGCTGTGGATGTGGATGTGAATGTGAATGTGGTGACACGGTCAGAAGGGAGTGGATGAATGCAAGGAATAAATGGGCTCCAATGTACTGTATCTGTTACGGCCACGCTGAG